AAGTTCTTTGGATTAATGATATAATTATGTAAATAATGTGTTGATAATGTGATTATGTGAAACAAGAAGGAAAAGGAAAGTTATAAACAAAAGTCAAAGTTCTTGGTAAATAATGTACACATGAAAATAGGTTGAAGTTAGGAGCACAATTTTTGTGTAAAGGAATTTAAGGTAATGTGTCAGTGAGTGAGTTGTTAGTGATTTAGTTAAAGATATGAAGGTGATTTGTAAATTGGTTTTTGATAACAAGCAATATTGTCTGCTACACTCAAACACTTAGGCAATTTAGAGGATATGGGTTTTTCATTAATCAGGCATTTGTAGATTCTTTTCTATGTATATATATAAGGAAAACATAAATAAGAACCAGGTCACAAAAAGAATTGTACATTTCAAACCATTTATTAAGAACATGTCAGACTCAGAGTATGAACAAGATAACTCAAAATATGTTATTTTTGTGCATTATCTTTACAGATTGAATAAATACCTACACCAGTAGAAACTATACATTCTAACGGGCACATCTCGGCTTGTTCACTGATCCAACCATAATTCAATTTCTTACGAAACTCCGGGATTGGAATCAGACGGACAAGATGGCTGAAACTGCAGGCGAGCTGAAAGCTAAGAGGAGAACGGCAAAAGGGAAGCTCACAAGGGGTATGAACCAACTACAGGCCCTTTTGAACACTGAAAGATCCATCAAGGAGGTAGATGAGAGCTATCACGAATTCCGCAAACTGTATGAAAATGTGGAGGCAAAGCATGATGCCTATTCTGAGGTTCTCGATGACAACGCGTATGAAGCAGAGCAGGCGTGGATGGAGGAGTGCATGAATAGCTTCATGCAGATGAAGTTGAAGGTTGTGGACTATGTAGGCAATAGTACCGGCGTGGATGACACGGTTGACACCACAAGAGAGGCTGAAAGCCCAAGGTCAGAAGTGAGAAACACAACAGCATGTCACGTACAGATAGAGAAGCCAAAGTTGCCACGATTCTCAGGAGACATCAGAGAGTACCAGACCTTCAAATCGGACTTTAAACATCTTATTGAGTCCAGATACGCGGAGAGGGACTGTATAACCATTCTGCGTACTAGTTTACAAGGCAAAGCACTTGAAGTGATTCAAGGCATAGGAACAGACTACAACGCAGCTTCGGAGCAACTAGATGTCATCTACGGTGATCAGAGGAATGTCGCAGATGCTGTTATCTACGACATCACGAAGTTCAAGAACTTGAAAGACGGAGATGATAAAGGGTTCATTGAACTAGCAGGGTTAGTGAGGAGGAGTTACAACACTCTGAAGGAAATCAACGAGGAGGACATAAACAATTCTCACATGGTGTCATTGATAGAGCGAAAGCTTACGAATGAAGATCGTAAAATCTGGTTACGTCAACAGAAGTCGCCAACTTTGAAGTGCTTAATGGAATGGTTGAGCCAGGAGTTGCAAACTCGTATCAGGGCGACTGCATCGATTCGAGAAGGAAGGTCAGATAGCAAGCCAAGGCAGGGTGCCTTCATACACCATCTGACACAGGAGGACAAACGAAATGAAGGTCGCAAACCAGACTTTAAGTGTTGGCTCTGCAAATCAAATGATCATTGGGTCGATAAGTGTCAGAAGGTCGTTAAGATGAGCCAGCAGGAGAGGTATGAGTTGATGAAGGAAAACAGGGCAAAACAGACAATTTGAATCAGGTGAAAGAGTCATGGTATTTAAGAACCATAGAGGTGGGAAGGAACGTTATGTTCTAGGAGTGATTGTGAAGAGGCTAGGTTTTTATTCATACCTTGTGAGGATTGGAGGAAGACTATGTCAGTGCCATGTTGATCATTTTTTGAAGGACAGCGTGTGTAAAGCACACTACCATCGACTACACCACAGCTGGGAGAGAGCTACCGCTGACAGTGCAACTTCTAGTTATGACAAAACATTCGCCCGACTCGACAAGCACTTCAGCCCGGCAGTGAATGTTGTGGCGGAAAGGCACAAATTCCGCCAATGTGCACAAAGACTGAATGAGTTATTGGATGACTACATTAGTGCATTACGTGAACTAGCATTGAATTGTGAATTTGGCAACTACCCAGACGAGTTCAAAAGAGATCAGTTGGTGGAAAAAACTACTTCGGACCGCAACCGGGAAAGGCTGCTAATTGAGCCAGCCTTAACTTTGCAAACTGCTCTTACTATCGCTAGACAAATTGAGTCTGCAATTAGAGATGCTCGGGTGATTGATGCTTCTGCTCATGAGTCTGTCAATGCAGTAGTGATTGATTCTCGATCTGCAAAACATGTTATCACTGGGTTGATCTGCAAAACAGGTGATCATTAGGTTGACCAATGTAAGAGGTTAATTTCATAACCAGGGTATGAGAGACTGAAGATAGTGAAAGAAAACTACGCCTGCTTCAGTTGCCTGAAAAAGGCAGGTCGTGTTCACCCAATGTCGACATGCCAGAGAAGACGACAGTGCTCAGAAAAAAGTAATGAAGAAAGGTGCAGGTATTTCCACCATCCTTTACTGCACACAGATGATAAGAATTAAAGTCAGGGTGGAAACTGAACTCGCACTGGTCAAGTGGATGTCGCAGTGGTTGGCATGGAAGGAGCTTCGCTGCCAGTAATAACAGTGGAAATTGTTAGCAAGGGAAAGAGTAAGAGAGGAAATTGTTTAATAGATTCAGGGGCACAGATTAGCCTGATAAGACAGCAGGTAGCAGCAGAGCTACAGCTGAGAGGTACTCCTACTATCATAATTGTGATGAAGTTTGGAGGATCACAAGAAGTCCTGCAGACGCAGAAGTACAGAGTGCAAATCAGAAATATAGGAGGAGATGGTAAGCCTATTATCATAGCCGCCATCGGAATTCCTCTCATCAGCGAGGATGCAGTCGAAGTCGATATGATGTCGACTTGATGATATGGCAAGGAAGTTCAGACTAAAGAAACATGATCTTCAAAGAAAAAGTGGACCAACTGACATCCTGGTACGCGTAAATTATGCTAGGATGAACAGTGGATAAGTCAGAGAAGCAGGGGAATACTGTGCTAGAAAATCACTGTTAGGGTGGGTTGTGTATGGTGAAACACACCAAGAGGATACATACAACAAACAAGTGTTGCACGTGAAGTTGGCTAATCCTGTAGATCTCGCTCACTTTTGGACGATACAGGCAGAGGGAGTCAATGCAAAGCAATGTCATTGCGATGATAATAGTGGTCTCACCAAGCAAGAAGCTCTGGAGGAACAGATGATCCAGTCTTCGACAAGGAAAGAAGGAAAGCAGTGGGAAATAGCATATCCGTGGGAGAAAGACCCAGATCCTCGTCCACTCCGCACACAAATCCCCAAGTCACAGACCACTGCGGAAAGTGATCAGGAAATTCGCAATCGCGATTTCGCCAAGAAGCGTCAAATGAAAGTGCAAGCAGAAAAGCACAAGTCATTCTAAGAATCACAGCTTAAACCAGGTGACATCGTTCTTGTGAAACGTGATGGTCATGTCGGAAAATGTCAATCACTGTTCGATTCCGCGACCCTTGAAAGTTGTGGAAATACGTGGTTCAATGGTAATTGCAGAACATAGTTTAAAGAACGGAGTACGCAATTCATCACGTATTGAGATTCTTCAAGGATTTCACATGGTAAACGATGATCCAGATATGTTGGACGAAATCGACTCTTGCTACAATGACCTGCCAGTGAACATTCGTGACAATGATCGTCCAGCACCACAACAAAATCCAACTCGCAACCGCATTCCACCACGTCATTCAGATGAGAGAAAATTCAATGAGCATAAAAAGGGAAAGGACATAAACTATCAGTTGAACTTAGCATGTTTACAAATTTTGCCATTTTGCACTGTGAAAATGGACAATAGACAATTTGGAGCTCAGTAGATTATGTGTTTGACAAAGAACATGTTGCATATTTTATGAAATATGTTTTGTTTCACATGTTTGTACTTTTGCAAGGAATTTTCTGTCATTTCTGTCATTTTATGCTAACATCATTTATTACATGGAACATGAAGTAATGTTTTAATGATGCAAGGTAATTTCTGTATTTTTTTAGAACACAAGAAGAGAAGATTGCAAATTTTATTCTTAAGGAGACAATTTGATATTTGCCATTTTTGTTTAACAGGATTAACATGTTCAAGTTGGTCTCATTTGTATAAAAAGAGAAATCAATAGAAGGTAAATCTAGTATTGAAAAACGGTATCAGCAGCAAAGTTTGAAGAAGAAAAAAAGGAACCATGTACGGTAATTGTTTTATAAGTTTCTACCAAAAGTTAGATTTGAAAGTGTTTAAAGTTATCATAAACAAAAGGATGGTTAATGACAGTTTTGTAACTGTTTTTGTTTCATTGGTTCTAATTTCCTAACATTTTGGGTTTTACAAGGTACATGTACAGATACATCAATAAGCCTATTGTATAATGATGTAATTTATTCATTAGATTCATTAGAAGAAAGAAAGAAACAACAAAATAGAGGATTAAGTCAAACAAACTAATTTAATCACGACTGTACACCTAATCAACATATGCTAGACATACATGTACATGTCCAATGTACTACCGGTATGTAATAGACCGACAAACTGTTGAAAAGATATCTATAAGGTCAGTTACATGTATTGTGGTAAAACTAGAAGTTCTTTACAATGTATACACTCAATCTCAAAGATGGGAGGACTGTAGTATCGCGAGATACTTCCTTGTGGATTTGACTATGGAAAGATACCATACGCAAACTCACAGATCTGAGTGACAACTACATGTATGTTGTTTTATTATTCAGCATTAATCTCATCAAGCATTACAGTAAGAATGACATTTGACCTTGACTTTGTCACCTAAAAGACTAATCACATGATTGGGGATAACCCTAATGTTCAAGTTTCATGGAATAGGAATGTATACTTTCAAAATTATGATAAAAATTCAAAATCTTAACCTTTGGTTAACTTTTGATGTTGATGCCACAACATACTGTAGTCTAAGTTTGTTGACCTGAAATGACCTTGAACTTTGACTTTGCAACCTGAAATTCTACTCACATGATAGGGGACACTTTATGTCTTTAGTCTAAGTTTCATTGAATAAGAACTTATATTTACAGACGACACCGCCGCCGGCACCAAAAAAGCAGCGTCTACATGTATGTCTGGCTTGTGCTATGCAGGCGAGAAAAAAAAACTGATGTTATAATGTTATCTCATCGTTTTGTTATTGTGTATTTTCAAATGCATCTGATGCAATTTAAATTTCAGTCCTTGGTTTTATCGTACATCTTTATCATCACATTATATATATTTTCATGAATGAAGATGAATAAACCAACATTACGCAGGATGGACGGTCACTGTCCGCCACAGGCCACCACATAAACAGTTCCTCTCCCAGCGTTTCTCCCACACCACGCGGACAGTGGATGATTGCTGGGTTACAGGAGGCATCAAGGAGATACAAGAGCACCTGTAGGAGAGCAGATGGAGTATTGGTTAGGTACATGTAGCCTAGCGAAATGTAATGGCACAAAAAGATTTTGATAAGCTACCTTACCGAGGAGTTTCAATAGCTTAATTACCACCTACATGTACTTTCAACCTCTAAATGAAGATTACATAAGATGGTCAACAAGAATTACACGTACTGTCTCACTTTTGTGAAAAACACTATGTACATGAATTACAAAAGTGGAGATTTCCACTTTGAGACTTCATGATTAGGGTCAAGCGTGTGACATAAGCCTGGTTCAGAAATTACATTGTTAAGTGCCTAAATAAAACCATTGCAGCAAAATAGAACAGCAGGGTGCACATTAAAAATATGTATTTCATGACACACAAATCATGTGAGTATATGTAAATACCTAGAGGGGGCCTTGGCATAACTACTTCATTTTCAGCCCCATTCACCATCAATTGACAAAAGAAAATTGGTTTATATTTTGCTACAGCTTTTCACAACATGTCTGAACCAGGCCCAAATCTTTGAACATTATCACAATTTAGCTCTAAAGAATCAAAGTTGGGGTCTCGATCTATGTTTCATTTGGCTGTAAATACTTTCTATTGAAAAAAACCTACCCAAACTATCTACCTGTTTCTCCTTCAGGACAAGAACAATTGTCCGTTCAGAGTCAGAAGGGCATTAACTGTGTGTTAAAGCCCCACTGCACTACTTATAGCTAATTGCGCCTTCTATATAGCAAACAATACCCAATCGGTGCCTGTTGGTCCCCCATGATCCTCTTTTTCTTATGTTAATTGAGAGCTGATTTGATGAGATAACCACCTGTCAGTGACCTTGCAGGGAGGTGTAATGCCCCTGGCCAAACAAGTAAGGACAGGCTTTAAAGGTTATGAGTTCACACCCCTCTTTGTTCGAAGAGGAGAAAGAGAGTTTTTAAATCCAAGTATACTGCATAGTACTTAGTAGAACATAATCTTTCGGGAGGGGGTGGCGGTCAAGACTTGCCAACCACAGCACAGAAATGGTCAAGAATGGAAATTAAAATGGCAAGAACAAACCTGGAGCATCTTCTGATTTCTTTGTGGGGGGTGACACCAAGACTGAGTTTGCGCACCACATCAAACTTCTGATGGAGCCTGTCCGTCAGGGATCTAGTGTAGATCTCTGGACCGAGGCTGAAGGTGGCAATGCTGATCATACGCCCCGGCAGGGTGCCAAACTGGAACGAGGACTGGCCGTGTCGTACATGAATCTTACCTGTATAACCTGTGTTCATCGAGTGATGAATATTAAAGTATTAAAAGTAATAGTAATGATAATGATAATGATAATTAAAATAAAGATGATGATCATGATGATGATAATAATAGTTATTTAAATCATAATTAAAATAATAACAATAATCATAATAATAACAAGGAGAATTAAAATAAAAATAAATATGATCACAATAACAATACAAATATTAATGATCACAACAATGGTAATAATATTAATAATAATAACAACAATTATAATAATAGTAAATACAACTGTGATAATAGTCCTAACAATAACAACCACTACAACAACAATAATGCACTTAACATCAAGTACACACATAGAAAACATGCTGAGGTGGCATTGCTTATCAAACTGCTAAGAAAGCATGTGTATGCTTGTAAGTATAAGCAACCAGGGGACCGGCGGCTTTAAGTCCTCTCTGAGGGACTTTGTAATGAGGATTAATGCCTTTAATACTAAAGGGCACTGGCGCATCGACTTGGCTTTTAACCCGGGACCTCCCGGTTAGGAGACCACTGCTCTACCACTGAGCCATTGCGTCTCCTTAGTATAAAGCTTACCTTCAGTGACAGGGGATAGATCCCAAGGAGGCACACCTACTTGACTTGGTAGGAGGGTGCATTCATCTGCAGAAACAAAATATATAAATACTAGAATTTAAATCGTCACGAGGACGATTAAGGTGGTCTGTCTTCAAGTCTTATGATAGATTATAATATTTACTATATTGAGAAAGGGAGAAGTTATATAGACATGTAAACAATGATGATCATGATGATGATGATCTTGATAGTAATGGTGATGACGATGATGATGATGATGATGATGTTGATGATTATCATCAACAGACCATGATGACATCAGACTGAAAAAAATGAGAGAACATTTCGTCCTTGTTTTCACGAAGTGACAGTAGTGAGGAAAATCGTAACGCAAAGTGAATGCAATTCTTTTTCACTACCGTCACTTCGTGAAAACAGCAACGATATTTTAGATATTAAATAGTCTCAGCTACAACATACTAAAAAATCAACAAAAATCAAGCCGAAATAACGGCGATGTTGCTCGCAAAAGACAAGAATGTAGAATCCAGATTTGAGAAAAAGTCATCTCCCATAAGGATTACACGCAAAAAATATTGGATCAAGTGATAATAGGGTAATAATAAAGTAAATATAGTTGTTTATTACATTATTAGCGATTCTACGTGTTTTAATGAGCAAAGGAGATGGTATAGTGAAAGGTCAAAAAGAAAAAAAAAGTGAAGAAAACAAATTGTTGGAGACGCCCGGACTCGAACCAGGGACCTCGAGGTCGGAAGTCAAGTGCGTTACGGATATACCAAAACATTTCCCATAGAGATTACACGTAAACAGGAAATGGAATTCTCAAATCCCACTTTGGAAGTGAAATATGAGCATGATCCCGGCATCTGAATGAAAAATAAAGGGCACACTTATGATAGCTTATTGTCTCAGCTACAACATACTCAAAGCTCAGCGTAAATAAAGATAAAACGACGGAGATATTGCTCGCGAAAGACGAGAATGTAGAATCCAGTTTTGAGAAAAAGTCATGTCCCATAGAGAATACACGCAAAATGTGAAAAATTGACATGCCACCTTTAATCGCAAAAATACGCCATGATACCTTTGTCAAAATGAAATATTGTGTTGACTGCATTTGTAGAGAATTGTCTAAGCTAGATCATATCAAAATTTGGAAGAAAATTGATCATTGTTTACAGAGATACAGTCAATTTTCCAGAAATATGCTGACGTCATAATATGCAAATTGAAATTTTGAGTTTGGAGGCCATTATGATGACGTCATGAGTTAATTGAGGGTCAAATGAGACGTGAAATCATACCTCCAACTCATAATCTATTTAAATATGAAAGAAATTGGGGGTTATCTATCAATTCTGAAGAGTTAAAATGAATTTTGTATAGGCATGTTTTTGCCCATGTATTGTGGATACAGATAGCGCAGGTCGGCGCGTGCGTTCAACTTTGACAGCCGCTAATTGCAGTATTACTGGTCGGAAAAAGGTAAACAAGGTATCAAAATGCTTGGAAAAATGTAATAAATATGATAACAGAAAAAAATTGGCGATTCTATGTTGGAAAATGCCAGGACGCGCGGAAACGCGCGCGCAAATTTTGAAAATGCTTAAAATGGCCTGAAACGTATGCAAAATTAATTTAGAACGAATTTGACCATTTTAAAATTTTAATGCGCGCGTACGTGTGCGTCGAGGTGCGCGCGCGGAATTTTTTGACATTTTTCGTTGACCTTCGACCTGAAGTTGATGTATACTAAATATGGTTGATTTTTGATGACTTGTTATCGAGATATGATAATGACCTGATTTTTACAAAATGGCGCCTGGATGACGTCACGATGACCCCATGAACTTGAAAAAGTTAATTAGACTTGAAATCATAGGGCTTGATGACTGACAAAAATTCAAAGGAAATTGACCATGTCGATTTCGAGTAAACGTGTGCACAAAAAAGTGTACGGAAGAAATAAAAATAAAGAAATAAAGAAAGAATAAAGAAAGAAAATTCTAGCGAAATCAATAGGTGATCTGTCATCGACAGACCACCTAATAATGGTGTTTATTCAATAATCATCATCGCAGGTCGAGAGCTGAATCACAAATGATTTTACAATAAAAAGTGCATGAACTTAATTAATTACAAACGGCGTATAACATAAACAGAATATTTCCTCATAATAATAATAGGATTATTACGTTAGAACAGAAAAAACTGTATCTACCAGTATCCCAAATTAGGCTCGAAAGGGAAGTAGAAAAAGAGAAGCCGAGTTATTAAATAATAATCAAGTATACATAAACAAGGTAAATGTTAGATGCTGCTACAAGGTAAATGTCGTAGATTACACACTGTACATTCATTTGGCACTAGTGAGAACACTTGTCTAAATGTAGAAAAGCTTACCTATGAGTGATTCATCAAGTTCTGTGGGTTGTTTGTCATGGTAGTGTACCCATATCTGAGAGACCAGTCTAAAGAGGCTTGGTATTAGCACATCTGGGTCATCTGGAAATATAAAATTGTGAAGTGAAAATAAATTATTATTTGATTGAAAGGTTTTGAGCAGACAGAACAAATTGGTGCATTGCGGAGTTCACAAAATGTACTTCCATGACTATGCAAACATGTATAATATAAACAAGTGACTTCACATTTCAATGTGCAATTTCTTGGATAGTTGGTATACACTTTGTATCATTCTCAATTATTTTGTTAAGGAGAAATCAACATCCATTCTCCCTAAATTTAATATAAAAGCTACTGCAAAATGTGAATAGCAGGTTTTATATAATTAACACAGAATTATACTCTTATCTGTTTTTTCCATGAAACACACAGGTATATGTGATATCACACTGGCTTTGACAAAATTTAACTTCACTATTGATTATGAACACAGTACTGTCAATTGTTCAAACGCCTTTGTCATTGATGTTATGTTCTGAACACTGTCTTCAAACCTTTAACTGCCTTTACATTGGTGAAACAGATTGAAATATGCAAACAAATTTGATATTTGCTTGGTTACCTGCTGTTGTGGTGAAAACGGGAAGGCAGTTCTTCTGTAGTCGACCCCACATCCTGATGATAAGGAGGAGCTCTCTTAACATCACCAAGGTGGGCACGTCCCGCATCAAGCTCACCTGGGTTAGGATTCAAACATGATATGGTCAACTCAACTAAGAACAGTCTCAGTGAAATAAAAAGACATACATCCTGATGATAAGTAATAATAATAATAATAGCCTAATAGTCTACTCCAAATTTTATTAAACCGAAACAGAAATTCTTTTTGCCCAATTGATCGTGAGCCCGGCAGCCACTGAGCAGCGCCAGATCGACGTTGCTCTCTCAACATCACCAAGGTGGGCACGTCCCGCATCAAGCTCACCTGAGTTAGGATTCAAACATGGGGGTGTTTCAAAAAGATCCTAAGTCAAATTTAACTCTAAGTTGGACTTACAAAATATGGAGAGCCGTTTGCAGCCTTAAAAAAATATATATTCAAAATCAAAAATTGAAGTATTTTAGACTTTTCATAAATTCCACATCAAGAACATGAAATCTTCTTGATAATAGAAAATATGAATGATTTGAATCAACATTTGTTATGCCTTTCAAAATAACTTTTACAAAATATTTTCAAAGATGCTAACAGCTTTCCATAATTGTTAAGTCCAACTAAGGATCTTTGAGAAACACCCCCATGATGTGGTAAACTAAGAATTGCCTCAGCAAAATCAAAATTAAATACTTGTGAGCATTGTGCACTTCAAATTCTGACCTAATAGCTAGGAGATCAGTTAGGATGTACAGTGGCCGATGTTGCCTACATCTACTTCATTTTGTTTCATGGGAACAAACAAAATTATCACCTAGTTAATTGATACACATCCCTGGATGAAGTTAGGGTGATAAAACCTAGAGGTAACACTAATTACTTTAATAGTAGGGCTCCTAGAATTGGAATGGATGTAAACACCCCTGGCCTGTATGTAGAAGTACATGTAATTTGGGTCTGATGGGAGTAAATAATATTAGTCCTGGTTTGTTGATAGGACTTTTAAAAGGAGAGAGAGGGGTGTTTAAAATTACCCCTGGTTCATTGGTAGGACTCGTAACCTGATGCATAGTGAATTTTAACATTCCTATAAAAAGGCAGGGACCCATCTGTATTGGACAATGTGTTGTGATCAGATGGTTTTTAAACTTACCCCTGGTCTGTTAGTAGGGCTCCCTGGAGGAGGAACAGCAGCCAGACTCACTATGGTGTAATCAGCTACCCACTGGATTAATGGCTGCAGACACTGCAAGGTAGCTGCAAAGATAAAACAAATGGCATCATAACATCAATCACCACCTGGGACCCATTTCTCAGAGCCGAAAATAAGTGACAAATCTGTTGATAACCAATCAGTAGCAAGGATTTCAGTAGCTTATAACAAAACTGTCATTGGTCACTGATGACAAGTTTTGTGAAATGGAGCCCTGGAATATCCTGCAGAAAACTGCAACAGTAACTGTGGTTTCTGTTTGTTGCTCACAGTGGCATGCATGAACATGTACATTGTAGCATAGGCCCAGCCATTGAGGAGCACTGGGGGGTGTTTCACAAAGACTAAGATCGACGTTAAGTTGGATGTAACTATAGCAGGCCATTCATGCCACTGGTTACTCTCACCATTGGTCTCTCAATTAAGATCTTTAGATAATATTTTTTCCTTCAATAATGAACTTTCAAAAAAGGTAAATTCTGTAGATTTGTGACCAGGATTGCTACGTCCCTTGAGAGACCAATGCCAGTAAACTGTGAAAGCAAACGGTGGCATGAACGGCCTGCCATAGTTAAATCCAACTTAAAGTCAATCTTAGTCTTTGTGAAACACTCCCCTGGCATTACAAGGGGTGGGGTCAGCAGTCTTAGTGTAAGAATGAAATCTGAATTATCAAGGCCTCCAAGTAGGGGAAGGGTATTGAATGGTGTCCTTTCATAATCTTTTCACCCCCTTCCCCTTTTTTATCCCCCCCCCCCTCTCCATGGTGGCGTATTCCCCTATGCCAATGTACTAATTCATCTTGCACAAAAGCAATTAACAAATCTTTTGAAATGTCAGAATACACGATATGCTAATCTTGTCAATTATACCACATTGTGAGCATCATGAGTTGGTTACTATTACTATTACTAGTGATATAATTCTTAAATTGACATCAACATGAGATTTAAAGCCCCACTACACTACTTACAGCAGGGGGATTTGACCTCCCTGCATGGTCACTGGCATGAAATCTCATGAAATCAGCTCTAAATAAACATAAGAAAAAGGGAACCATGGGGGACCAAGGCCACGGATTAGGCATTGTTTGCTATATAGAGGGCGCAAGTAGCTACAGTATAAGTAGTGCAGTGGGGCTTTAAAACAAATAGTAATTAACTGTGATATTTAGACTGACCTGGTTCAACAACATACTCCTTGCTGTCCAGCTTCTTCAGCAATGTGTCTGGGTTCGTCTCTGTGCTGTTGGCACACAAGGCTGAAAAGAAAGGAAACATTGTAGAGGATTATTAAAGATTGTTAAAGCCTATCTGCACTAGTTTGGCCAGGGGGATTAGACCTCCCTGCATGGTCACTGGCAGGTGGTTATCTCATCAACTCTCAATTAACATAAGAAAAAGGGCATCATGGGGGATCAACGGTTACCGCTTAGGAATTGTTGGCTATATAGAGGGCGCAAGTACTGTGCTACAAGAAGTGCAGTCCCGAATTAAGATAATAAGAATATCTTATTAGCTTCAATTGTGAGCTCACCTTCAACATAGTTAGGACATGGCTATTAATGTAGCTGTATCATAAACATCAAATTTAAAAAATATTTAGTAACATAAAGGAAAGCAGTAGATAAGAACATAATTATAATAGACACCCTGTACTGACATATGATTACAATAGCCCACTAGTCTTATTTACCAAGACAACGCTATTATTATTATCACTGATCTTCAAGTTTCTGGGGTTACAGTATGTGCATAAACCCAGTATAGTTATGTACTTATTAATGCACACGGGTTGACATGGATAAATGCGAGTAAAACAGAATGTCTAAAGATATAAGCACTGAGCAAAGATTGAAACCTGGGCCCCCTTTCATAAAAATTGTTATCAATAACAAGATACAATAATATAAGCTACTGAAATCATTGCATTTGATTGGCTGAGAGCAAATTTTGTCATCCATTTGTTATTGATAAGAAGTTTTATGTAACAGGCCCAGGTCCTCTCATATGAGCCTTAAAACCCTTCAACAATATATGGCACCATCTCTACTATAATAGAAATGGAAAAAGGAGAATGAAAGAGAGGATGGAAATTTGAAATGTGGAACCTACTACTGAGTTTCTCAGCCGGTCCTTTGTCTTGTGATGAGATGGCACTCGCCCTGAGTAAAGACTTGAAGACGTTTGCAGTCGAGTGAAGAAGTAGCTTCCCATAACAGTCCACAGCTTTGCCGGAGCCGCTGGCAGAAAGCCTGCTCAAAACAGAACATATAACAATTACAGCTTCATTACTAAAATCTGCATACATGTATCTTTCCTATGTGATGGTCATGGACTCATGGCACCAATATGGCTGTCATTACCCTGGCTTAAACCAAGCTGCCCAATAGTGCTGAAATCATTCAAGGAATTAATTCCTGCCAGATTCCCATTTACTGGGTTATGATTAGCAAACATAGAGTACTGTCTTGCCAAAATATATAGATACCATGGCTCGTACTCAAAGCATGAACCATTTGATTCAAAGTCCTACAGAATAACCACTAATCCACTTCCATCCTAATGCCTTCAATTCTCTCATTATTTGAAGTGTAAAGGTGTTTATATGGTCTGGGGGGTGTTTCACAAAGATCGTAAGTTGAACTTATCAGTTGGACTTATTATGGAAGGCCGTTAGCATCTATGAAATATTTTGTAAAAGTTATTTTACAAGGCATACAATTTTGATTCAAATCATTCATATTTTCTATTATCAAGGAGATTTCATGTTCTTGATGTGGAATTTATAAACAGCCTATAATACTTTCAATTTTTGCTTTTTAATATATTTGATTTTAAGGCTACAAATGGCTCTTCATAATACTTAAGTCCAACTTAGAGTTAAGTTCGACTTGGAATCTTTGTGAAACACCCCAGACCATATAAACACCTCTACACTTCAAATAAGGAGAGAATTAAAGACATTAGGATGGAAGTGGATTAGCAACAGTCTGGAACAGTCCATAGGTTGGAGTATGATGTTTATCAGTAGCACAGACAACAGTGACGTCTTCTAGACTGAACTGTACTGTCACTACACAACCAATGATACCATTCCTAGAAGACAAATGTAGATTCAGGGGAACAGCCCAATCCCCTTTAAAATGGACAATATGAGGGGTGTTTTACCTGTATAGGCTTGCCTTGACAGCTACCAGTCTGGTGAAAAGAAGCTCCTGCGTAGAACTTGATTGTCTGTTGACAGAGTCTGAGAGGCGATCCAACACAGTGTCTACCATATCTGCACACACAAGTAAAAAGAAAAGAAAAGTGTTACATGTGTTTATAGGGCATGGTGTAGATAGAATTCTAGTAATGATACAAAATGAGTATTGGTTTAAAGGTCAAAGATCAGTTAAAACAGTCTCAACCAGTATTTCATAAGTGCACTATAAGTAATAGACCATTGAATAACAGTAAAAACTCAATACCTGCTTACTTGGTGTGTTTGTACATGTGTGTATTAAAGTAGGGTCCATAGTCAAAGCTAGTGTGCAGACAGTATTCTATCAAGTACACTACTTGCTAATTAATTATTCATGTACATGTAGGTCAAAGATGAAAGGTTAAAGATACTAAGTCCCTTTTGCAGCCAACATCAAATTCTGTAGAACTTTGCAGGAATGATGAATATGCCATGTATGTCCTATCTGTAAAATTTAAACATTAGCAGTGTACTAGTATTCAAACAATGCAAGGAAACCGTTTACCTTCTAGACTTCACTGTCAGACACTATTGAGTGACTGACTGACATCTTTTTTTCTTTGGTAATAACATACATAAAATGAGCCGTAACAGGTTCATGGGCATTTGTCTACATCAATTACCCATTACTTGTATTGGCCAAAATTAAACTGATTCAATTTTTGTGCAGCACAAAACCTACAACCATTTGGTAAAAGGGTCTGAAAATCAGACTATTACTGAGGTGACTGCAATTACTAAAGTCGATTTGACAACTAATGGTTGTTATTTTTCCACTAAAAGCCATTTTCAAGCCATTTTGTTTTGAGGGAAGTTCTAAATTAGTATTATCTTTCAAATGCTGTTGGCGTTTAACCTTTTCATTTTTTGGCCCGCAAATGGGACATATGACCTTTAATGTCAACTTACTTGGTGTGATTGTAAGAAGAAGGTCCCACCAGTCATAGCCCGTGACAAGGCAGTATTCTAGAAGGTGCACTACCTGTGCAATGGTATGCGCACGAGCTGTAACTGAAAAGACAAAAGTTTACATGGATCAATGTACACCATTCAATATGTTGTGCATGTATCTGTACTTGTGTAATAGAGTTTTTTCCAATTACATTTTCATTTTAGAGTGAGGTTATGATGATATGGTAGGGGTCCTATCATCTTTTCTTATCACCCCCTTTCCTTTTCACTCTCTGTCTCTCTCTCTATATAATTTTATGTTTGTGGGTGTATATAGCCCCCTCCACATAGCTATGTCACTAATGCTGGGACATTCTCTGGCCCAGGGTGGGTTCAATCTTGAACATGCAGAATGTTGCTGTACAGTCTATAGCTACCATATCAGGGCCCGGTCTTTTAAAGAGTTGATATTAATTGCAATTTATTTGTGATTGATATTAATTGCAACTTATTTGTGATTGATATTAATTGCAACTTATTTGTGATTGATATTAATTGCAACTTATTTGTGATTGATATTAATTGCAACTATGTATATAAGAGATAAGAGATTGCAAACTTGCGATTGATTGGAGGACTTAATAATTTGGATGAATCACATGTCTTCATAAGATAGGGCCAAGAACTAACCTTGGTCTAAGCCTTGGCCTAGTGTTGGTTCAATCTTGAACATACAAAGAGTTCCTGTACGGTCTATAGCTACCATACTACAACAGGTGGCGGACATCTCCATAGACACAAGATGCTTGCCATTGAAGTTCGGCCTCTTGGCTGTTAATATAAGCAGATGAGGAAAACATTATTTGAAAACAATAAATGCATAACATGAAAAGTATTTAATAACAAAACAACATCAAAATATAATGCAGTCAAACCTGCTCTTGCACCAAACTGCACAGAATGCCCAGCAGTGAATTCAAATACTTTTTGTTTCCCTTGAACCGCTTTTCTCGCTGTAATATAGATGTTCATGTATAACAAGTCAACCTGTATATAATGAAAACCTGCCTATCAAGACTGAGTTTTTGGACTCCCTTTTAATGGCAGTCTTTAATAATAATAATAATAATAGTGGGTTCTTGTACAGCGCTCATGTAGCCTTCCATAACTTTTCATTCCCTTTCTATACAAACATCATAGTTACCAGTTATCCTTTATATGGCGCCAACAAATTTACAAACATGTACCACAAATCATATTTTGTGGACTCTCCCTCTTACAGTCTAGATTTAAAAATAACAACAAACAAACAAACACAAACAAAAAACAAACAACAAACAACAAACAACAATAACAAACACAAGCAACGATAACCAAAACAACTGACCTGGAGGACCTGGGTCCGAATTGATGACACCTTCGTATCGGAGCGCTGCACAGGCCTTCAGAGATGACCTAAAACAGTGAAATAAAAATCATATTTAGAAGGGATTTACCAATGCAAAGCTCTTTAAGAGCACTCTGGAAAAAATACACATCACACCTTTTTTTTTAATAGAAATTCAATAGCAGAGTAGAGAAATTTTACAATGGATTTTAAATGAGATTATCTAGACAAAAGTGCCTCATTGATAATTCAGTAATTCACCTGGCCCCTGGGGCCTTCCTCAAGGGCTCTATGTTTACCTGTGCAAGAGTTTGATGGTGCCTTCTTGGTTTGCTACAGCGACTGCCATACCGGGACCAGTGTAGAGTGAGTTCATGGACAGCTTGAGGGGGAGCTTCGGAAGAGCGATTGATGTGATGATGGAAGCATCAGTGTAGGTTGAACTGAACACCCACTTCTGCATCAAAAACAAAAAATGCAACGGACAATACCGTCAAACAATTTTGTGGTCGAGTGGTTTAAGGTGCTTGACTGGAGATGCGAAGACCAAGGGTTCAAATCTCAACAAGGCGCTAATATCCTTTGGCAAGATATTAAAGCTTATCTGTACTAGTTTACAGGAGGGATTAGACTGCCCTACAAGGTCACTGGACAGGTGGTTATCTCATCAACTCAGCTCTCAGTTATCCCTTACTGTACTGGGCTATTTTGAGCACCCTCTGACTGGGGGGGGGGGGGGGGGGGGGCTGGGAGCCCCCCCCCCCCCCTATGATCTCGTTCGTTGAATGTCCGATGAACACGAAAATTTGCATATTTGTAGATATTTACGTAAGGAACAAGATGGTAAAATTAGTTTTTTCCTAATATGCAAATTTTTGTCGTTATAGCCTAATTAATTATGCAAAATGCTAATTTTATGCATTTTACAGAAAACTCTACATATTTGTCCGTAGACTTGTGAAGAATCTTGAAAATGTATTGAATAAATGTTTCCTTCATCTCAAATTCATGAGGTTTCATTATTTTTATGATATTTGAAAATGCATAGGTTAATTTGCATAAATTATGAATACGCAAATTACGCATTCATGAATATCAAATCTGGAACTATATTTAGGGAACTAGAATCATTACAAAAGTTGTCAGACTCCACTTTTTGATTGTTGAAACTCATTATTCATATGAAACTTCTTTTCTAACACAAAGTAGTTATTTGATGTAATTAATAATGATAATTTATGCAAATTTGATGTGATTTTCAACTATTTATTTTATTACATATTTTATTGTTTTTATTTCTTACTATATCTATTATTTTATTTCTAATGTATTCTTTTGTTCTGGAATACATCAAGTTACTCTGAAAAACATTAAAGCAATTTAATATCAATTCATATCTTCACATTTCTGCTTGTACATGAATATATGCAATTATAGCACTTTTTTGATGACATGCGCATACTTATTGTTATGTAACACCTTACAGGTATATCCGATTTTGATGAAAATGGTATCAAAATGTTCGAAAGACTTGAGGGAAAAAAGTCATGAAACGACAATTCAAAATTCCAAGCGGTTGCGGCGCGATCTCCAAAAATGTCGAGGGGGGGCCTTCCAGGCCCCCCCCCCCAAGTCGGTAGAGCAGTGGTCTCGTAATCCGGTGATCTGGGTTCAAAACCAAGGCAATGCGCTATTGCCCTTTGGTAAGGCATTAATCCTCATTACCAGGTCCCTCGGAGAGGACCTAAAGCCGTCGGCCGTCTGGTTTCTTACTTACAAGCATTTATGCTTTCTTAGCAGTTTGATAAAATAACAACAACCACCACCACCAATCTCAGATTTAACATTGTTAATCAATCCCTTTAACTTCGACATTATCTTGAACTCAAAAGTCTAACCCTAACCCTAATCCATTTTTTTGGACAAATTATGTCCAGGAGCAAGTATCGGAGGAGCATATGTCAAACCACCATATGTGGACCTCTTAACATGGCAACATGATAATTGTGGGAAATTAACAATAATGTTTAAAAAGGAAGATGGCTAAAGCCCATAGGTAGTATACAATGAACATTACGGCATGCCAACATTACATGTACAGCCCACAAAATGAACTTGTCTCTTTTGGGTTATACAATGTGGAGGCATTCACAAACATGAATAATATATATCACTGAGTGGTATTTGTACGTCGTTTGAATGCCACATCTCAAATTGGTTCTCAAACTTCTGTGGGAACCCTGCATTAATAATAATAATAATATTCAGCTTTTATAGCACTTAATACATCTCAGACGTCTCTAAGCGCTTTACAGACATACTATTACTCATGTCATTGGATTCAGTGCTTGCCTGCACACAATGTGTGCACAATCTCCACTCCCTGGGAAGCATTCCAGCCAGGCGTTACTTGACACTCAAAAACTGTTTAACCAACAATGACGGTCGCATCCTACCAGGTACCCATTTTTACACCTGGGTGGAGAGTATCAAGTGTAGATTAAAGGCCCACTGCAGTACTTGTAGCTACTTGCACTCTCTATATAACAAACAATGCCTAATCGGTGACCATCGGTCCCCCATGATCCTCTTTTTCTTATGTTAGCCCTAAAGAAGTGCCTCAAAAAAGTAAAAACCTTTGAGTGACCGGTTATACCATATTCGTTTTCCTCAATAGACTGTAGTGTTATGAAAACCGTTTGGCAATCGCAAAATTTGATTTCGATTTTCAATCATAAATATCTTGATAATCAGACAGGCGATTGGCTTGTAAAATTCATGGGGTTCCTGACTGACCTAAAGGTTTATAATTATCATTGCAGCATGAGCTAAATCAAGGATTTTTTTAAAGGATCTAAGACAAAGTTACCGGATCCCTTTAAGGGTTAGGCTTTTATAGGTTTAGTGTTTGGTTTGGGGGTTTGAAGTTTGGAAATCTGTTAGTTTTGAAAAAATGAACTGAATAGTGATTGACACCAGTGAATGTGTCTTACATCCCTACATACCAGCGTAGTTGGTTGATCTCTGTGATGGGGCGAGCCCGCTTGGAATAGTTTGTGTAGGGGGATGGCCTCTTTCTTCAATGTCCAGCATTCTATACATGAACCCATAGAACCTACAAAGTATACAAATGAGCAAAGAAACTTGTTATGGTAAATACTACACAAGTTCATATAGTCAATCACATGGAATGTTTGGAAAATATCAGTCCAAGAGTATGACTGACAGACAGATATAGAGAAAGAAATACATGTAGTAGTTTGAGAGAAAGAGATAGAAAAGGTGTAGTAGGAGAGAATATGAGTAAGACGGTGCAAGGATGCAAGGAGAAGTAACAGTGTGAGATTAAAATGGACAAATATGAGACTGGGATGGAGAGTGGGGAGAGAAGGAGAGAGATAGGGGAGAGAGAGAGAGAGAGAGGGAGCGAAAGAGAGAGAATATAAGCGCTTAGAAACATTGTATTAAGCGCTTTATAAATGTAATTTATTATTATTAAAGAGAAGAAAAAACAAACAAAGAGAAAGATAGAGAGAGAAAGAGAAGGAAAGAGAGAGAAAGTGTGAGGCGGTGCAACATATAGAATGGACAAACAATAAATTACCTGAAGCACAAACCAGGAGTTGTTCTGTAGGAGCTGATCTAAGCTGTTGTTCTGTGCATTCCTTGTTGATAAATTGCACTGATGTTATAGAAGGATCTGCATTTGAAGAAAAAAAAAAGAGACAAAGTCAATTAACAAAACTTTCCCTGAATGAGGAAGTGAATTTTCAGACCAAGTGTATAGACAAAACATATGGGACAGCCGATATAAAAATGTTGTGTACCACGGCACTACCCAGATTGGGGGGGGGGGGGGGGGACGATGCTTTACAGAATAAAATACAGGAGTGGAAATGGTGCACTGGGTTCATAATAGTTATTAAATAGTCCTATCCCTATCATTTATTGAACATCTTTTAATTATCAATACCAGAATCATCATGTGAATTATTTTTAATTCTATATTTTTGTGATTGAATTTTATCTTCATAACATGAATCAACCTTCATAGACAAGTGATCTTATTCACAACAGAATAATAATAATAAATATTTATATAGCGCATTTCCATATACATTTTCAAATGCGCTCTAAAATAATGTTATTATCAGAAGAGGTGAGTTCTGATATATTTTGTAAAGGTATTGAGAGATTGCTGATTGCATAGATATTTGGGTAGGTTATTCCACAGTTTGGGAGCAGCAGTTGTGAATACTCTGTCACTAAGTGTGGGTAGCATCTTGGGAGATGGATGGTTCAGCGTGATGCCTCGAGAGGAGTGAGAGGGAGAACCAGGATGGTTGCCTGATAGCTATGAGCTTAGATAGTAAGGAGGAGCCAGACCATGGGTGCATTTGAAGGTGAGAAGAGGTATTTTTTTCCTCACTTGCCATCTTGTTTACTTACATTTATCTCTACTGGTGATCTCACAGAGGCACTGCATGTACAGAGATGGCAAGTATTCTGTTGACACATGGAGTTTATCTGCATAAAACAAAATAATGAAAAATAAACGAGGATGAGCACATCTAAAATAAAATATAATATAAAGGATAAATCTATCATGACAAGGATATAAACCAATGAAATTTCCACCCTCTTGGTAATCACACAACTGTCAAATTAGATAAATTTTTAACATGGGACTCTCACATTAATGTAACTTGTAGTAAGATATAAAAAATTACTGGGATAATGAATAATGTGAAATGTATATTATGACCTAAACTGCTATTTACCATGTATAATACTTTTATTCTACCTCATGTTATGTATTGCAATGTGGTATGGGCTTCATTACATGCATCTAAATTATCATGAATACATCATCTTAAAAAAAAGAGCACTTCGAATTTGTGCCAATGCTCATTATCTAGCCCCTTCTTTACCTTTATTCCGCCGTTTTTCAACATTACATGTGTATGACTCAAACAAATTATTGATTGCTTCTTTGATGCACAAGATTTTTACGAAACGCCTCCCTCCTTATCTTATTCAAATGTTTTGTTTAAACGAAAATGTCCATGCTAACTCTACTCGACAGTCAGCCAAATTCCATCTCTGGAAAACAGAAACTAATATACTTTCAAACTCAGTTCGTTACCTTGGCCCCATTATCTGGAATTCCTTGCCTTCTGACATTCAACACACACAATTCAATGCACTCTTTAAAAAACGAATTAAAAGATTCCTTCTCTCTAAATGATCAAATTAAATAATGTAAATTTACCTTGCTACTCAGCTTTGTAGAGTGCTGGAGTGTGGCGTCGCAACGACCACACCCATCCGGCTGTCGTTAGCATTATTCATGATTCATTTGTAAACAACTATTCTTTTTTGTTTGTTTGTTTGTTGTTTTTTGTTGTTTTTTTCTCTGGTGATCCCCTCCTTACAAGCCCTTGAGGCTTTTTTCGGGACACCCTTTTCTTTCATTTATTTGTATTACTAGCTCTTATGTATGTATTACTCTGTTTTGATGTAAACATGAAATTATGCATGACATACTGTAAACTTGTTTGATTTTTAATTGTACATATTGGAAGAAATAAATGAGAGCTATATGCTCTCTCAATCAATCAAAAAAAATATAAAGAGCACTTTACAAATTCAAAGCTACAAAAATCTTTCAAATTGTTAACAATACTTTGCTAATAGGAGAAAAAAATTATGTCACGCACCGATCCAACTTTTTAGGAATCTTGTCAGCTTTGTCTGCCCTGGACCCTGTATTTTAAACACAAAGCTTACCAATTGACTGTACAACTGATTTTTGCAACCAATTGCAAAATTCAATCAAACATAAATTCCTAAGCTTTTTGTTATGGGCTCTGAGCTAACCTGAACGTGAATGATGACATTTTAGAGCAATTTTGTTAACTAAAATGCAAGTATTCATTTTGCTCACAACAGTTTCAAACATGTTAAGCAAAAAGCAAGTTCTACTTGTATATATATCCCCAAACAAGACATGGTACTGAATATGAACAATCAATTCAAGTGTTAATATGCTTTATAAGATGATGAAGCGGATCCTAATCAAATGATTGGTTGAGAGCGTACATGTGACCAGGCATTTATGACCGGTCATTAGTACAATTTTGTTATAAAACAAATTATACACATCATTTTGTTCGGGCATTAGTAAAATTACCCACACTCCTTTCGAAACAGTCCAAACACCCTCGGCTATCACCTTGGGCATGTTAGACTGTTCCAAAGATAGCTTGTTTGGGTAATTCTTACTAATGCCCTCACTGCTGTGTATTATTTGTATTCATAAGATCCTAATCAAATGATTGGTTGAGAGCGTACATGTGAGCAGGCATTTATTTTGCCTAACACATAATTTTAGTAATGACCAGTCATTAGCAAATACTAATGACCGGTAATTAGTAAAATCATGTTATAAAACATCATTTTATAATTGTATACTAACCATCCTTCCAATCAGGCATTACTTTGAAGCACTGAAGTGGACATCTTGTACCTCCATCCGATGTAGCTATGAGAATGTGACCAGCTGAAAAAATCAACAGCATAAATAAGATTTTTTTTAAAAATTAAAAAATAGAGTGATATATTATTCTCCATTTTATTCTTATCCATACTTAAAATCCTGTTTGTGTAATTTGTTGTAGATATTGACAGTTTTCTAAGTAATAATGGTGAGGATGATAAATTTGATTAATGATATATTGAGTAGAAGTTGAAGAAGAAGGGTAACAGCACAAATACAACATAATTAATACAAATATTAGTGCTTTTGTTTTGATTGTATATTCTGAGCACTAGGCATCATTTTCTTTTCACTCTCTGAACTTTCTCACATTTTTTGTTTTCCATGTGATACAATATCTTAGTAACTTAAAAGAAAACTTTAAAAACATTAATTTAATCATGAGAAACAATACTCACTGCTTGTGAAAGCAATATCAGCTAAGGCAATATGATTTCTTGAATTTCCAAGTCTCTCTGTCACGACGGTGGTTTTCCCATCTTTAAGAACTGTTACAGACACCTTTACCAACAAAGAAACAAAAACATGAACACTGAGAATACAAAATGATGAAGGATCATGCAATAACCATCAAATGTACCAAAGAGTAACATGCCTGTTGCCTGCGAATAATCCCCAAGGCGCTCAGTTTTGGGGTATAAAAACTAGAAAGAACACCAAATGTAAAATCTCCCAAACTAATGTAATGAAAGGCCAAAACAAAAGGCGGATGAATGGAGTTTAGACAGATAGAATCAGTCTTGTCTTGTGTGCGACACTCTCTGCAATCTGCATACTGTAATCTATAGCAAACTAGTAAATACATATACATAGCGAACTCTGGCAAGTTTACAAGATCTTGGCAAAGCATTGTATACCACTGTCCATAGACAAGTAGGGTGTACATGACATTTCTACATGAATGTGTGGGCAAGGACATAGCAGTTTGAGCATTAATAGATCCCATTCACTTCAGGCCGAGAAGAAAATATTTCATGTCCATAAACATGTACATGTCATCATAAACAACTATGGTAAACATGACTGTCATACAATTTGAGAAACAGATGTAAAGTTGTTAAATACTGAATCAGCTCAACATTTCTTTTAATAACCCATCAAGACTGAATAATTATTTCTCTGTTATCGACGAACAACTTAAATACCGGTAATACGAAATTCATTGTTTGCATTATAGTGTCATTTTTGACAAACATGGCGCATTATAAATGTTCACTATTATTATGATTATTATATCATTTATGTCTTTTTTTATACATGATTTCCCAATATGTATGATGCATATACAATGTAAACGGAAGGACTTTTTTATTCTTACAGACAATAAGAAAAATAAATCATGAATATATGAAATAAATATATAAATGGTTTTATAAGAGGATGCTTTTTACCAGTCCAGTTCCAGTGACGAGTACCCAGCCTTGTGTTGGCCTCATACAAAACTCTGCTAGACTTGGAGTGAAGCGCGTCCTAGAGAACTTATCCAGCATGTTGGGGGTATCGATATTATCAACATTGTAGGTGATCTGTATGGAAGAAGAATGATACAGGGGTGATAGTGTGAGTTTTAAAAAAAACTACAGCTATTATGGACAAAATCAACAACAACAATAAATACAAACTTTACCAGGAATTTACGGGTGACCTTTTCCAAGATCTATGTATTATTTGAATTTGATGAGAATACCTGCATGGAATTCACAATATTGAGGACAAAATATCATTTAATAAATGGTTCCCTCTGAATGAAAATTAAATTGAAACTGAGAAATAAATTAAGTTTTAATTCTGAGGCGGGTACCAACCTTCATGCCATTGCGCAGCCATGCTATAGCTACAACAGGCTCTCCAGGAAGGTGGCTCTCAGCGATGCACATCCAGTCATTCATCAGATGATGCCTCATCTGCCAGAGGTACACTGACCCTGAGGCATCAGCCGAGAGAAGCTGCGTGCCCTCCATATTCCACTGCAGGGCTTGGATGGCATCATTGTGCTGGTTACCAAAGCTATGAAAATATGAGTAATAGAGGATGTATGTGTCTGTCTATAGCCAAAAGGATGTTAACTTTTATGGTTTACAGTGTGAATGCCCTTGTGGCTCTATAGTAGTTATAGTACTACAAAATACATTGAATTAACAGAATACTTATACATGTACTTTCCATGCAGCCCACATGTTTTGCCTCTTCTCTTAGACCAATATTATTAATTTCAAAGTCATGAAAAGGCACTAAATATCAACAAACATGGTCTAGAACTCCAAATGACAAAATAATCCCAGCTATGCATTTTTTAAAGCATTTGATAGCCCAAGACTTGAACATTTTCTGCCTTAAAAAAAAAAAAAAATACCTGCCAATTTTTTTTTTGTCAATAATTTTTGCCGATACCGATCACATGTGCGAGGGTGTTGCTCTGATCGTCTGATCCGATCAAAGCCCCAACTTACAGGGTTAGCCAAAAGCATTCCTGAAGGCTCATAACAAATTCTGCGGCAGTGTTGAGAGTACTAGATGAATAGCAATTGTAGATGCCAAAAGTAGCTGCACATAACATACAAAGGTCCTACGAGTACTCACTTTCTGTGCGTTATAGGATAGAACAATGAGAAGCGCATTATGCTCAAAATCCCTGCTTTAGGTAGGGTGTCTGAACGATTTTTCAATTTTCAATTTGGGATCGTTTTTCACCATTTTTGTTTGATATTTGAATAAAAAATGTTATCAGAATAATACATTTCAAATTTCCAGTCTCACCGATGTTTCTATCAAAAGTTACAGCCCCTCCAAAATGCTGGTATATTCATATCATTTTGGTCAAAATCAACGAAAAAGACGTCCACGCAGAGTGATGTTGTTTTGCTAAATTCAGACAAACAGCTGTATCGCGCGATATGCAAGCGTATGCATATAGTACGCATGTTGCTAAGCCAATGCGCGACTTGCAGCTTGAGCCACGCTGTCTCCGCGATATGTGCCATTGACTAGTATGGTTGGCAATTCGCGCCGTAGAACCCAGAAGTGAATACACGTTGTAGTCAATGGCAATATCGCGGAGACAATGCACGTTGACTCCGCGATATTGCCATTGACTATAACGTGTATTCACTTCCGGGTTTATCACGCGAATTGCCAACCATAATTTCATTCACTATAATGTGTCATTGAATTTGGGGTTTCGTTCGTGCGCGGAGATGTTACGCGATGTAACCATGGTTTGGACTGAGCGGAGCGCACGCCTCTTAATTAGCTGATCCACCAAATAGCGAGAAGGGTATTTTTAAACTGTTATCAGTTGTGATCCCTGGGGGCCAGCGAAAATATAAGCACATAGAATTGTTCCTTAGGACTGGGACTACTTATCGATCGGGGCGTCATATCTCAAAAGTGACAAACCTCAGAGTTAGCCAGGACACAATGTTTAAATTGCTGTTTTGACCAAGATATTTTTAGAATTTCGGGGGCTACGCCCCTTTGGAAATATTGGAATTCACCTGCTCTTTCATATGACACCTCATTTATTGATTATCACCTTCAGGATCACAACAGATAAAGGTTTGAATCCCGAATTGAAAAAAAAAAATTAACTTTTTTTGCATGGTCGCGCAATGCACGTAGACTGCATAGGGATGCGTGTAATCTCTATGGGAAGAATTTTAGCACACAACATCGGGTGCGCGATCAGACACCCTACTTTAGGGTGGATATAAGGGCCTAATAAATATAGCTACATGTATTTTCATCATTAACTATCTTTCAGTGTACTTTAACTTTTAAGATACATACCTGCAAACTTCCCATGGTCTATCAGGGTCAACGATGTGAATTGTCGGCCTGTAAACCTCTCGCTCTTCTGGTGAATTGGGGTTGCCGATTGCTGTGAAAGCTACAATGTTCCTGCATGACCAACTCAGGACACAGTCATCAATCAGCTTCTTGATGCTAAGAAAATAAAATAAAATTGAGAGGATGAGGTGGAGATGGAGAAGGAGAAGGAGGAGATGGAGAAGGGAAACTGGAAGGGGAAGGGGAAGGGGAAGGGGAAGGGGAAGGGGAAGGGAGGGGAAGGGGGAGGGGAAGAGAAGGGGAAGGGGAAGGGGAAGGGGAAGGGGAAGGGAACGGAAAATGAGCTGAATCTCTAGGAAAAGTCGATGAACCCAATTCATTGCTAAATCCATACCTTACCATGTGCACATACGTAACAACTCGTACATTTTTGTGAGTGCGAAACAGATCATACTAGGGAGCAAGTTTTTGACAGATGTTTTTGGTAGACCGTCAGGACGCGCGGAAGAAAATCAGCAACAGTTTCTGAAGTTTTTTCGACATGATTTTGAGCGGCGAATCGGCTGGAAATAACAGGACTACTTCAGGCAGAGAGTTCCAGTCGTCAATCACTCTGTGACTAAATGTGTTCTTCCTTACATTTGTCCTACACCTCGGCTTTGAAAGCTTGAGACTTAGACCGAATTTTTCTGTCTCTTTCGTTCGTTAGCCTCTGATTTGGGTAGGTCGGCTCTCTCTTTAGAGACAGAACAGCCCCATACGCTGTAGTGGCCGCGCGTTTGTACTAAGAAACGTTACACAAAACTTGGCCAAACTTAATCCCTAATTTTGATATTTTACCGGATGCGTATCCGATGCATTTAAAGTCCTAAATTAGCTAAATACTTAACTACTTTGGTTCCACTTACCAACTTGACTGGAATAATCCGTTTAATGGTCCATTTTTAGGAAATTATGGGTCAAGATCGACATCCATGAAGAAAATCTTGCAGCCGAGTCTCATTCTTTCTAGTCTACGCCGAAGGCAAAATGATTATAACGGAAAAACTGTGCACGAGCTACGAGTTCGTAATGACATGCACAGTTTTTCCGTTATAATCATTTTGCCTTCGGCGTAGACTAGAAAGAATGAGACTCGGCTGCAAGATTTTCTTCATGGATGTCTATCTTGACCCATAATTTCCTAAAAATGGACCATTAAACGGATTATTCCAGTCAAGTTGGTAAGTGGAACCGAAGTAGGTAAGTATTTAGCTAATTTAGGACTTTAAATGCATCGGATACGCATCCGGTAAAATATCAAAATTAGGGATTAAGTTTGGCCAAGTTTTGTGTAACGTTTCTTAGTACAAACGCGCGGCCACTACAGCGTATGGGGCTGTTCTGTCTCTAAAGAGAGAGCCGACCTACCCAAATCAGAGGCTAACGAACGAAAGAGACAGAAAAATTCGGTCTACTTGAGACTATGCCCTCTTGTTGGTGTGTCTGCTAGTTGGAAGAGGTGGTCAGGGTTGAGTCTGTCATGCTCATAAATGATCTTGTACACCTGAATCATGTCTCCTCTCCTTCTCCTGTACTCAAGGGATGGCAAGTTTAGGCATTTAAGTCTCTCTATGTAAGGTAGGTGTTTCATTGTGGAGATCATCTTTGTTGCTCTCTTCTGTACTCTCTCCACAGCTTTTGCGTCTGAAATGTACCTTGGCAATTGTTTTGGAAATGTGAAGGATGTGTGCCAGAACATAGTATTTTAGTGGTAGTGGCATGTCTTTATGATGTCGATCCTGTTTACAGTTAGACTTCATGCATTGTAGGAGAAGTCACAATCACTGAATCAGTCACAAAACAAAACTCACACAAATGAATTTGCAGGAACAAATTCACTGACACGAATTTAAACGTATGGGTCACTTCAATCATCAGGTCTACAAATTCACTTACCAGACATTAGCGTCAGTTTTCGGCCAGTCAGCCACAAATGCGAGCTCCATTTCTTCAGCCTCAGACGTCTTAACATAAAATTTTGGAAAACAACAGGGTTTTACCAGCTTTGAGGTTCAAGAAAACAGACAAAACATCTAATCCTAGCTCTAGCTCCTCAGAAAGAGAAAACAAAGTAGCCACTTACACTCCCAACGTAGATGGCGCTTGACAAAATTTTACATAGACTTGTACTTACTGGGCTCGACTCATCTGGATGACAATAATTCAACATGCAATGGCCAATTATTATTTTTTTCTAATTTTTTTTAGAAGAGGGTAAAAGAAAAAGAAGAAAGAATAAGTAATGCGAACAAACAATTAAATAAAAACAAATAGAGAGAGAAGAGAGAGAGAGAGAGAGAGAGAGAGAGAGAGAGAAAGAGAGAAAGAGAAAAGAAATATAATTTAAGTAAGTAAGTTAAAATGCATGCGAATATTCATTCCTATGAATGATGGAAAAATACGATAACCATATATCTTCTATACCAAAGGTCTATACTTTTTCAGGTTCCCAACTATGGAACTCTCATCCTGGCTACCTTTAAAACTGTTCATCATTTAATATTTCTTAACGCAGGACTGGAATAAAGAATTACTGTTAAGCACATGTCCCTTTTAGTCTTATACCAGGGAGGTGAGACTTTAACTCACATTGCCCTGCTTATACCAATAATTGAAGTATTGTTTTGGGGTTGTTCAACCGTTGTTTGATTTTCTCCTCATTCCTTTGATAATAATAATATTCGGTTCTTGTATACTAGCGCATACAGACGCGTATGCAGGGGGGGGGGGGGGGGTTTGTGTGTTTTGGAGGAACACCCCCCTGAATAAAATTTTTTTTTAAATTGTGCTAACGGGTGACCAGAAAAGGGTGACCTTACCCCCCCCCCCCCCCCTCCGCCGCTTATTCAGCGGCTGGTTGAGTCGTTGTGAAATTTTCGGCGCGATTATCAAATTTTAAACCACCCCCCCCCCCCTTTTGAAAAAATCCTGCGTACGCCAAAGGACATTAGTGCTTGTTGTTTATTGCTATGGGAAAGAGGTACGTTTAAATATGATGCTAACACATGTATGTCACGTATGGGATTGACGCCCCTATTACTATAGACACGACATCGTTGGCGAATTTGTATCTACAAATGAAACGGTTCCGCAACCCCTATTACATTGTAGGCTTGTTGAAGTCTTCTATTGATAAAAATCATAAACACAAAAAATACTAATCAGTTTCCTTGTAACACATTCCATAACGGAACATCACGGAAGAAAATACTGAATCACGATACAAATCTAGTATGAAATTCAAGTCATCAAGTAATAATCAAGTAACCAAGAGGTGTATTTAGGCATTGAGTTGGCTAGCGCAATTTCATTCTCATAGCCTGTCGTATAGAATGCATGCGCACGCTATTGTTATAATGCCATGTACACCTCAGCAAGCTACTGCTCCTTTGCTTCTTGCATGTCTGCACGCATATGTAATAGCAGTTATTGTTCATGCCCATTGGATTGTGCCTAGTGTTTTGCACGCGCTATTGATAGCACCATCGCGTTAATCCGATTATCTCGTTATAAACTTGGCACTGCTGGGATTTGGGGCTTGGCACAATAGAGATTAACCCGGAGGCAGGATTAGTATAATCAGTTGTAAAAAAAATTAAAAATCTTATTAATTTGTGTTCATTTATAAATACATGTTTTTGTATAAAACTATGAATATGTACTCAATACATACTAAGAGATCGTGACGATTACGTGCAATTTGTCCAGTACGACATGTCTTGTTTCTTCTTCATTTCATGAAAAGTAAATAATATCTTGCTATGACCATTCAGTGTCAGTGATACCAGGAAGAACCATTAGTCAATTGTCATATTAAGTGATTCACATTTTGGGATGAATGTCAAAACATACGTTATGGGGTATGAGTCGCTTAATGGCGGTTTTAAATTTGCATTTGATTTGGAATAAATTCCAACTATACAAGACGGGGCTCTAGTCTAAATTTTCTTTTAATTTATTTAGTTCTTGTATTTTCGAATAGTTGGATTTGAGTCAAGTCTCAGCATTTTTAAAGTTGATGCCGTCTTGAAATTTGTCATCATTCAATTCGCCTTTTTAATTGTTTGGATAACTTAAATCCGCATTGACTTACTTTTGTATTCATCCCTCAAAACATACTCATGAATTTCTTGAAATATTTATTGGAAGGGAAAGAAGAAGGCCCTAAACCGAGAGGGAATGCGAGAACCAACTAAAGGAGAACATTAAAACCTGGCGAGGAAAAACACTGCTAGAGTGCACTAGAATGGCAGATAACAGAGATGTGTGGAAAAATATTACAAGCAACCTCCGAGCTGGTATCCGGGAAAACATACCACAGGGGGGTTTTCATAAAGCTGTTCGTAAAGTTACGCATGACTTTACGAACGACTTGAATGTGAAGTGCCAGATAGGATACCCCAAAATTTTCCTGATGATTTATCAAAGTGTGACTATATTTCCAATTACCTCAATTAAATTATGGCAAAGAGTATACTTTGCATTAAATTTTGTTGTTATAATAAGAATGTTAATCTACATCTGCACAGTTTACCTTTAGTTAATGCAGTTGAAAATCATTTTAGCATCCCATTTGGCTTTCCATATAAAATTCATTCGTAAAGTCATGCGTAACTTTACGAACAGCTTTATGAAACACTGCCCCCCCCCCCCCAGAATAGATAGAATGCACATGGACCGATTTTCTTTTTTATTTTGGTACAAATTTCATTTCATTCTTTCTTATCATTTTTTAAAAATAAGTACAATCTTACTTTTCTTCTTCCCTTACCTCACTTCATCTCTCCACTTATTCCTCTCTCTCACTTTATCTCATTGACGGTCTCTCTTTATATCTCTTACACTCTTCCAAGGGTGTCGATTTGTATCCGTGATTGGGGGGGATGATAGTTGCCAAAATATTTTCGGCAATGGATCAATGGATCCGCGTAGCGCGGAAGCTCTGACGTTTCAATCGATTATTACAGAAAGAATGCGATTCGATGTACCATTCTCGACTCTTAATCCTTAATGTGTAAATCAAGTCCCCCTTCCTCCGCGCGTAGCGCGGAAGCTTTGACGTTACATTATAATATTATAGAAAGAAGACGATTCGATGTGCCATTCCCGACTCTTAATCCTTGTCTGAATGCAGATACGTTGTATCGTGTACTTTAACGTTTCATTTAAATATAACTCGTTAATCCTAGTCTGAATTCAATTGCCCCCCTACCGCGCAAAGCGCGGAATCTTTGCCGTTTCACTAAATTATTAGAGAAAGAAGACGATTCGTTGTACTGTTCTCTATATTAATCCTTGTTTACATTCAGTTTCCTCACATGATGTATGTATGGAACGTTCGTTCGCATATATTTGCATGCACAGCCCGAGATAGTGGTGGGTACCATCTCCCGGCAGTGCATGTCGCAATAGCTTCTGGAAAGGAATTGTATACTACTGTTAGTGTTAACTGCCACTAATTTGGCCCATTAGTGACTATACAAAATATATGCTTTTCCTGGCTATTTGGGAATGTGTAAGTTTGCAACAGAAATGGAGAAACGCGAATTTTGTTGAAAATCATGTGATATCACGAACATTTATAAATCACTTGTATGAAATTGAGAATAATTCATGGTTGGATTTTATTGGAGTTGAACCAACCAGTACGCCAGTGACATAGTCCTACATCAGCTTTTCAATGAAACAAAAATAAGTTTTGGCATAATAATCTTTCTCCAAAAATGAAAAGTGTTTTAGGAAATATCAGGAAATAAAATAAAAATAAAGATACAATGACGTGAATTTTAAAAAGGGTGAACGGAAACAACATAACTAGTGAACTATTTTATAAGTCATACTAATGTCCGAGACTCTTTCTCCTTGTCTCCGATCTCATCACGAATTCGTCACAGAGTTCATCTATGTTTACATTGTCCAGGATGGTCTGATGTTGCAGATTGCTATTTTTGCGCTTCGCGCTTAACATTTAGCTCGTTGCTTTTTAACGCTGCGTCTTTGCATTTGGCGCAATGCATTTCTATGATGCTGTCGATTTAACAAATTGAATTAATTCATCAATTCCTGATGAAGCCGTATGATCGAAAATTCAATTTATTCTTGTCTCATATACGGATGTCTCATTTACTTCGTATATGTATGTATTATGAAAATGAGATAGCAAAATGTGTATATTGATGGTCATCTTAAGAGTAATAACCATTAACTACTCTCATCAGGCTCTCATCATTAATTTTTCTCTTATTTATTTTTTATTTTTAGGGTGAATTATTGAAGGGGGGATGATTGTACAGGCCATCCCCCATCTGAAATATTAGGGGGGGGGATATATCCCCCCCCTATCCCCCCGGGATCAACACCCATGACTTGTACTCCTTTGTTGAGGAGTAGGGGGTGTCCCCTAAACAAAACAAAAAAGATATGAAAAAAAACGAGAGGTAGAAAGGCATAGCCGGGAATCGAATTGTGAAACAATGTCTTGTCCACATGAGCACTGTGCTTCACTGATATTAACTAATTTAAATCCTTTGTTCGGTTCAAGATGTTAACACTTTCTGCTGTTAATGACTTTATAAAATAATGCTGATAAACTACTTGTACTCCTTTGTTGAGGAGGAGGGGGTGTCCCCTAAACAATAATAAGAGAAGGACAAATCAATATGAAGAAAAAAATGATGAAAAAAAAAAAACGAGGTAGAAAGGCATAGCCGGGAATCGAACCGAGTACATCTGCATTGTGAAGCGATGTCATATCCACATGACCACCGTGCTTCACTGATATTAACTTGTTCGGTTCAAGATGTTAACACTTTCTGATGTTAATGACTTAAAAAATATGCTGATAAACTAATTTAAATCCTTTGTTGAGGAAGAGGGGGTGTCCCCTAAACAAAAATAAGGAAGGACATATCAATATGAAGAAAAAAGATGATTAAAAAAACGAGGTAGAAAGGCATAGCCTGGAATCGAACCGAGTACATCTGCATTGTGAAGCGTTGTCTTATCCACTTGACCACCGTGCTTCACTTTTATTAACTTGTTCGGTTCAAGATGTTAACACTTTCTGATGTTAATGACTTCAAAAAA